AAGCCACAGAGCCGGCCCAGGGAGTGCCTTTTTTAGACAAGACCTTCACAGTAGTCATCACAGTCCTTTATAAAAGCACTTTTTGTAAGCTGTAATTGTTTATTAATTAGTTGCTAATTTTCTGCCTTCCCCATTAGACTATAGGCCCAATAAGGGTAGAGATTATTTTTCTTCTGTTTATCTTTTTCACCACTGTATCTCCAATGCCAATGTCTACCACAGTGTCTGTCATACAGTAGATGCTCAATAAATGTTTATTTAAGAAAGGATAGACTGGGGGTTGGGGGAGGGCAAAAGGGGTAAAGGGGCACATATGTATGGTGATGGATAAAAACTAGACTATTGGTGGTGAACATGATGCAATCTATACAGAAACTGAAATATAATAATGTATACCTGAAATTTACACAATATTAAAAGCCAATATGACTTCAATAAAAAAATTTAAAAAAAGAAAGCATAGACTGACCAGAGTTCAAATGGAATGAATGTTTGCCATATTAAATATGGAAAATTAAAATATTTGGAATTATAAAGGGTTTAGAAATGTGGCAAAAGAGAGAGACTCAAGCTTTAAGGCAGAAATGCTAGTGTACGTGTAAACTGCTTATCTTTGACAGATGGTATAGGATCTGAGGACAGTATCTGAAAGCAAGAAAAACTGTCTTTAGAAAGATGAAAGAATAAAAAGATCTCTCCTTGATCAGTGGCCGTTTGTCAATTTCTAACCTACCATGAAGAACACCCTTTTTTTTTTTTTGGGTGAGGAAGATCAGCCCTGAGCTAACATCCATGCTAATCCTCCTCTTTTTGCTGAGGAAGACTGGCTCTGAGCTAACATCTATTGCCAATCCTCCCCTTTTTTTTTTTTTCCCCAAAGCCCCAGCAGATAGTTGTATGTCATAGCTGTACATCCTTCTAGCTGCTGCATGTGGGACGTGGCCTCAGCATGGCCAGAGAAGCAGTGCGTTGGTGCGCACCTGGGATCCGAACCCAGGCCGCCAGTAGCGGAGCGCGCGCACTTAACCGCTAAGCCACGGGGCCGGCCCTGAAGAACACTCTTAAGAGCTTTTTGTTTTTCCGTTTTGAAAGATATGTGTTCACTGTTAGAACACAGCAGGGTATATATGTTATTTATTTATTTACTCATCTTGGCAAAAACTTTGACCAAAACACAAAATAATGACCCATAAATTGCTTTATAAGGAATTTGTTCTATATACTTTAAAAAAATTAGCTAATTCCCAAGGTTACTTTTGAAGTATAGATTGTTCTCAGTTGAGCATTAACAAATAATAGTCATAGAGTTGAAGATCTCTTAACTAGTTTTCTGCTATGACTCGGTGGATGATTTAATCATATAATGTTACCCAGACACTAAAAAACAGTTCCAAATTTTCATAAAGAGTCATATTCTTCAGCTATTTTCTCTTTTCTTTATTTCACACCATGGAAATTTCAGTTCACTATTTGGTAGTAGGTTTTATTTACCTAGCAATACCTTATTCCAGAATTTTCTAAGTATTCAAAAAAAAATATCAGGGCCGCCCCGTGGCTTAGTGGTTAAGTGCGTGCGCTCCGCTGCTGGCGGCCCGGGTTCGGATTCCGGGCACGCACCAACGCACCGCTTCTCCGGCCATGCTGAGGCCGCGTCCCACATGCAGCAACTAGAAGGATGTGCAGCTATGACATACAACTGTCTACTGGGGCTTTGGGGGGGGGTTAGTTTACATTTAAAAAAAATTTAAAAATATCAGTTCCTTCTTTACAACGTGCCTATGAGATTCAGCAAGCATGCTTTCAATTTCTTTGACCTGGAAATTAAGGCAAAGTGAAGTGTTCTACTGTAGACTATACAATAGGTTCCCTCATCTTAGGTCATTATATTAACACTGAAACAACAGACCCAGCAGCTAGACTTTCTGATGATTATCTTTCCATATGTAATTTTCTCTGGAATTGGACCCTAAGGAATTAAGAGCAAGTATCTCTATTCTGGAATGTAAAATTAAAATATATTTCCAGTTATGTATGTTAAACCCTGGAAGGTTTGATGACTTTTGATCTAGCTCACTTTTTTTTTTTTCTTTTTCCACACAGATTGATAGAGCTACATTCTCCTGATAGCAGGAACACGTTGATCCTGCGCTGCAAGGATACAGCCACAGCACACTCCTGGTTCGTAGCTATCCACACCAACATAATGGCTCTCCTCCCACAGGTGTTGGCTGAACTCAATGCCATGCTTGGTGCAACCAGTACAGCAGGAGGCAGCAAGGAGGTCAAGCACATTGCCTGGCTAGCAGAACAGGTAGGCTGGAAGGCAGGGCAGGGTCTCACCTGGTTGTCATTCAGTGCCAGGATGGTTCCCCCATTACATATATCTGTAATATTTATCATGCAGTCAGGTCCTGGATATCTAGCTTGCAGATCTTTTGTGTGTCAGTTTTTTGTTTCTTCTCCCTACCATTTAGCTATTTGTTGCTAATTATCACCTCCACCAGAATTGACTGTCATGATAATCATCATTACAACATAACTAAAAAGGTTCTTATTACCATCTCTGTCCTTAAAGACAGAGGATAATTTTCATGATTTTAGAACAGGATCAGTAAACTTTATCTGCAAAGGTCCAGATAGTGTCACAACTACTTGACCCTGCCATTGTAGCAAGAAAACAGTCATAGGTAATATGAAAATGAATAGGTGTGGCTGTATTTCAATAAAACTTTATTTACAAAAACAGGTAATAGGCTGAATTTGTCCTACAGGTCATAGTTTCCTGACTCCTGTTCTAGTCTCTTGACAGAGTTTCAAGGGCAGCAGGCTTACTCCCCTACTCTGGGAAAAGTATAAAATATACAAAAGTTGTTACAAGCCATTAGACAATTGTACAGTTGTCTTCCACAACTGAAAAATGAAAAGAAGAAAAACAAGAAAACTTAAGTGGATATTGGGTGAAGGGAAAAGAAAAACTTAATCCAAGTTAGTTAGATCCCAAGTTTGACAAGAGAGAGACTAAAAGTTCTATGTGAAGTTATGGTACGTCCTTTTTCTTTCGGGTCCTTCACGTCAGCTAGGCCAGCGGGAGTTGAATAAAGAACACTGGGCTAGGGATTCAGAGATGAGTGTTCAAGTGCTAGCTCTTGTTTTTCACTGGTTTTACATCTTTTTAAAAGTTCCTTCATCTCTTTGAATCCTAGTTCCCTCATGTGTGTGCAAGGGGGCAGGGATTGCGTCAGTATCAGCCCAGGAAGGTTTTTGTTTTTTGTTTTTGTTTTGTTTTGTTTTAAATACAGTTTCCCAAGTCTGGCCTCCCACGCTCCACCTCAACAGAGTTCTGATTTGGTAGATCTATGGTGGGGTCTGGCAGTCTTGTTGGGAGCTCCCCAGGTGATGGTGTTGTGGACCAATTTTGGACTCCGCTAATTTTTTTTTTTTCAGCTCTGAAATTTTCTGAACATTTCAAATAATAATTATAATAAATTAGAACATATAATTAGTACTGTGCTCATTTCTAGGAAGCATAATTAGAATAACTAAGCAGAGAAGAAACTAATGAAAATCATGGTTTTAAGTACTTAGGACTTTGAAAGTTTTAGTATTTTAGTTATGCTTATCATTGTTTCTGTATTTTTATATGCTGGTTGAAAAACTCGATTGAGTGGTAATTGTTCTGTGCTTTTAGCGATGTTAGAAATCTTCATGATTTTAGAAAGGTAATACATTCATGTGGTTCAAAAGTCAGAATAAAAGTTAGTAGGGAAAGTCTTACTCTTCTTCCTGTCCCCCATCTACCTAATTCCCACTTCCTTTCCACCAGAGAGGTAATCACTTTCATTCTTTTCTAGTGAATCTTTTGAGAGGTTTTTTTATGCAAATAAAAGCAATAATGAACACATATTCTTTTTCTCTTTTATAAAAGAAGATAGTAGGTTATGCACACTACTTTATCCCTTGCTCTTTATTTTTCACTAAACAGTATATCCTGGTGCTCTTTCCATATCAATACACAATACACTTTTTTTGTGTGTGTGAAGATGATCAGCCCTGAGCTAACATCCATGCCCTCTTTTTTTTTTTCTTTTGCTGAGGAAGACTGGCTCTGAGCTAACATCTATTGCCAATCCTCCTCCTTTTTTTTTTTTCCCCCAAAGCCCCAGTAGATAGTTGTACGTCATAGTTGCACATCCTTCTAGTTGCTGTATGTGGGACATGGCGTCAGCGTGGCCGGAGAGGCAGTGCGTCGGTGCACCCCTGGGATCCGAACCCAGGCTGCCAGTAGCGGAGCGCGTGCAATTAACCACTGAGCCACAGGGCCAGCCCCACAATACACTTTTATGGGCCATATTTATGTAGGTGTTTCCTCCACTCAATTGTGAGCTCTTGGAAGATAGGAGCACATTTTTTCCAATTCTTTATTGCCCCTAGAGAACTTAGTACATAGTAGATGCTCAGTATTTTTTTTCTTTGTCTACATACAAAAAACAAGCAAACAAGTCACTAATTATAAAATATTGTTCAAGAACACAATCTCAGGGTTGGGAAATAATACTAAGAAAAGTTTCAACCACTTTATTTTTATTATTTTTTTTTTAAATAATTTTATTTATTTATTTATTTATTTATTTATTTATTTATTTATTTATTTTCCCCCAAAGCCCCAGTAGATAGTTGTATGTCATAGCTGCACATCCTTCCAGTTGCTGTACGTGGGACGCGGCCTCAGCATGGCCCGAGAAGCAGTGTGTCGGTGCGCGCCCGGGATCCGAACCCAGGCCACCAGCAGTGGAGCGCGTGCACTTAACTGCTAAGCCACGGGGCTGGCCCCTCAACCACTTTAAAAAATAGTACCACTGAACTAATTCAAAGTGCTGTTTCTAAAATACTCTTGATTTTTACTTTTTTGAAGTAGTTGTTTGGGTTACCGAAATTAAATATCACTCTCAGGGCCACCCCCGTGGCTTAGTGGTTAAGTGTGCGCACTCCACTGCTGGTGGCCCGGGTTCGGATCCCGGGTGCGCACCAACACACTGCTTCTCCGGCCATGCTGAGGCCGCGTCCCACATATAGCAACTGGAAGGATGTGCAACTATGACATACAACTATCTACTGGGGCTTTGGGGGAAAAAAAAATAATAAATAAATAAATAAATATCACTCTCAGAATAAGATGTTCAAGCAAGAATGGATACCATTTCTTAGAGGTATTATAATGAGCTTATGTATCTGATAAAGGTTGAACTAGGTACATGCCAAAGCCTTTTCTGACTATAAGAGTATTTAATTCTATGATTATGAAAATGGTCAATATAATTTTAGATCACGTAATCTGTTTAATATAGGTAAGCATTTCTTTTGGCAAGAGGTGATTTCCTGAAATGCTTACATATAAATGAAACTGTTTCAGTTGTACTTAGAAAAGACAGTCATTTTTGGCAGATAAATTAAGGAGAGATCATTTAAAGTTAAATAAATGTCATAAACGATTTCACAATGTCATAAATTGAGTTTGCTTAAAACAGGGAAATTTTATACTACAGATATTTGGTAACCAGTAGATAATCTGTTCTATGCATAGGCACTTCTATCTCTTTATCGATACTTATTTTTATGTGACCTTTTAGTTGGTTATATTCTTAAAAGGGAATTGTCTTAAGTCCACCAAGTGGGGGAGATATGTATTACCTGTAAAATCAATATTTTTAAGCATTTAAGTATTGATTAGAAAAGCGAAGATAGCCAAAGAAAGCTTTGTTTCCACATTTCCTACTTTTTCCCTGATAATTCCCAAAATATGTAAAGACTCAAATTAGGAACATATACACTCAGTCAGGATTAGTGGAATGGTTTATTTAGTTTTGCTCTCTGTTTTCTATCATAATAAAATAAATAACAGAAGTACATCACCTGACAAAAAGATAGTTTTATAGGGTTAAGAGATTTAAGGGACAGATGATAATTATTAGTATTTTTTCATCTTTAGTGCTACCCAGCTCTATTTATTAGAAAATAAAATTTGAAGAAGGCTGTTGTTTGGCCAGATGTATGCATGCATGTGTGGGTGTTGAAACACAGCAGACCAGAACCCTAACATTAGTATCCCTGTTTTCTCTGACCATGACTATGTATTTTCTCAATAGTAGAGCCCCAAGGCTGCTTGTACTGATACCACAACCGAAAACACATACTATATATAGCAGGCTGCATTTTGACTCCAGTGAAAGCAAACAGGATCCTTAAAAGTTAAGGCAGGGCCGGCCCTGTGGTTTGGTGGTTAAGTGCGCGCGCTGCGGTGCTGGTGGCCCGGGTTCGGATCCCGGGTGTGCATCGAGGCACCGCTTCTCCATTCATCCTGGGGCCGAGTCCCACATACAGCAACTAGAAGGATGTGCAGCTACGACATACAACTATCCACTGGGGCTTTGGGGGGAAAAAATAAAATAAATAAAATCTTTAAAAAAAAAAAATAATAATGAATGCAAAATAATGAATCTAGCCTGGATTATATTCATC